TCCAAAGTTCAAGTAATCTATATAGAAAATGGGAAACGTTTTTCTTCCTATACCATGACTCCCTATGCCGGGGTCTGCAACCTATGGCTCTCGAGCCAAATGTAATTCAGTGTGGAACCAAATCTGGCTCTTTTGCCATTCCCAAAATCCATGCAACTTTTTAAATTAAAATGAAAAAAATTAATTCAAAAATTAAAAAATGCGTGATTCCTCATGTCAATGTGGTCTTTTTTTTTTTTTTTTGGTCTATTTCACCCTTACCCAGAGGTGAAAGTGAGGCAGTGAGCCCTGGTAAGAACCAGCTGCACTGTGGCAAGAGCCAGCTGGGAGACTCTGCTCATTTAAAGGGCTGGCTGAGGGTGCTCCGTATGGGATGTGTGCACGCTCCCAACTGGAATAGAGAGAGGGGTTAGTGGCAGCAGATGCCTCCATCTGGCTGGGGTGGCCTGGCTCCAGCCCCCATCTGACTGCTGTGGTCTGTTCTCAGCTGCCGTGCTCCTTGGGCAGATCCCGTGGCCTGATTCTGGCGGCCCTGTGACTGCTGCAATAGCCTGGCTGCAGTGGCCCAACTTGGGCTCCGGCCGCAGCAGCCTGGCCAGTAAAGCCCCAATTGGGGCCCAGCCCCCATCTGGCTTCAGGAGGGGCTGGCGGTGACTGCGCTCCTGCTGCAGCACCACAGGTAGCAGGGGAGGCCACGATCTGGCTGCGGCAATCCTGGTCTGGATCCTCGTCCAGCTACTTCTGTCTGGGTGCAGCAGCCCAGCCTGGGCCAGGTAAGGTAATCTGGCCCCAGGGTCCCCCCATATACTCTGCCCTGCTGCCTGCACCTCCCACACGCCTCAGCCCCCTGCATGCCACTCCTGCTTCTGTGGGTGCAGTTTGTGGATGTCTGGGTGCAGAAGTCCCAATAAATAAAGTCTGTGAGGACAATGTTCCATTGATGCTGTTATTAGTCATCATGTCAATTATCAATAATATTAAGTTGCATATTTTCAGTCATGCAAATGGGCACTCTTTTACTGGCTTTTTGTAGACCACTTGTTCTGAATTTTGATGAAGTTTGGCTCTTTGGTTTGAAAAGGTTGCTGACCCCTGCCCTATACCATGGTATGTCTAGGCATGTAATAAAAAGCCCCAGTTTCCCATTGTAATATTCCTCTTTGCCTCAGGACTTATTATTGCTTTAATAGCACTGGCATTAGCTGCTGCTATTCTTGAGCGTAAATTTGGGATTGGAAGCAGGCACTGGAGAGGGGGAGGAATATATGTCACCTAACCCTTTTGTTCTCTCTTTGTAGCGCCCCCACAAGGCAAATGCAGAAGAAATGACCAAGTATCATAGTGATGACTACATTAAATTTCTGAGATCTATTCGCCCTGATAACATGTCTGAGTACAGCAAGCAGATGCAGAGATGTAAGTTATGCCTATGACATTGCAGCTTTAAACCTGAATAGCTGTAGTTCTGGGAACCCTGGTTACATCTTAGAGCTGATGGTCAAAAGAGTAGGGAGACTCTTATGAAATTTATCTCTTTAATTTTCAAATTCACCTAACAAATTAGATTTATTTTTTGGCCAGACTTCATCACTTTTCCTCCAGTGTGTTCCTGTCCCTTGACTTGCTCTTTAATGTTCTTTCCTAGATTATAAACAGAACTGTGTGGATGTACCAGTGCTACTGGTATTCTGCTTAAGCAACTAGTAACATAAGGTTCAGGTGTTGTAAAAACAGTGACATTCTGGGGACCAACTTTAACAGATACTGGAAGGATGAGTTCTTATGAAGCAGAAGTACTGTTGTCCACAGTGTTGTAGATATGCAGAGAGTAGGGTTGTTAACTAACAATTAATTTACTAGTTGAGTAGACAATGGAATTTCCATCAACTAGTCGATAGGCATTTCTGCATTCCTCTTTTGAAATGTACAAGAGCCCGCTGGGACTCTTGTATGTTTCAAAGGGGAATGTGGAATTCCCTGTGAAGCCCAGAGACAGCAGGAAGTCCCACTGACTCCGGGCTTCTTGTGGATGCCAGCTTTGAAATGTACAAGAGTCCCCAGCAGGGGCTCTTGTGCATTTCAAAGTGGAAGCACCAGCATGGCGCCTGGGATCAGTGGGGGATTCAGAGTCCCTCGCTGACCCCATAGCAGCGCTGCCACTTTGAAATGCCATGCGGAACCTGGGGTCAGGCTTATTATTACTTTAATAGCACTGGGCTCCACATGGCAGTGCCCCTTTGAAACGCCACCTCTTCCTTCCCCCCTTTGCTGCCTCTATATGATAGGCAGCAAGGAGGGGAATTGACTAGTCGACTGACTATCTAAAAAGCATTTGCTCGTCGGATAGTCGACTAGTCCTTAACATCTTTAGCAGAGGGCAGGTGCTTTGGACTGACTGTTTACCTGCTGATCTTTATCTTTAGAATATGCAGATCTGTGTAATATTTGCATAATCTAGAAACACCAGTGTCACTATTTCCTATTGTAATAGAAGATATGTTGTTGGTAACTGTCTTCCTTGTAGGGGCACTTCTAGAGATCTATGGAATTCATATCCTTACTGGTAAAAAAACAAACAAAAAAAACTGTGACGTTTGTTTTTTGTTTGTGTTCGGTCAGCATTAAGAAATCTGGATTCTTAAATTCTGGTTTCACAATTTGTTCTATTCTAAGATTTAGACCCTCCAAGCCCTGAATTCAAATGGACTTCAGTTGAAGTTCTGTGTACTGAGAGCTTTCAGGACTAGACCCTCAATGTTGAAAGTGCTGTTTGTTTCAGTTCTGATGTCATACCTGATGGGCAACTTCATCTGTTATGTGTGATGTTGGAATAAATGATCTAATAGTCCTCTCTGGCCTTAAAAATCTATAAGGATAGTCTTTCTCCATGTGAAATTTTTTTGTGCAGCTTTCATGTTCTGGAATGTAAAACACTTTTTCAGACGATCTGCTACTCTGTGTTTACATTTTTCAACAAGTAATAGATAATGAACTATAGTTTCTTGCTGATTTGGACAAATAAAGTTGCTAAGAGTTGATTAAAATCAGTATTGGTTTGTGTGTGCTCTCTTCATTCCTGAAATCTGCAGAATTGTTGGCCCATGGAGATTTATTTTTATGAAGTGTATATGTAATCCTCTGTTCGCGCTCTTGAAAGAGTTATGGTCGAGAGGGGGAATTATATGCACTTTTAAACTGTGAACCAAAATGTACATGGTGTTTAGGCACCTAAGCGTAACATCTAGCCGAATGAGTAATCTGTACCATGAGTAATGTGTACCAAAGTACTTCCTGTGGTAAATAATATGCCTTAATGTACTGAAATATGTATTTACACAAACCTAACTGCTTACTGCTGAGAGTGGAATGGCTCATAAACACCCACACTGATCTCCCCCTAGTCAGCTCAGCATAGTCTATACTATACTTCCAAGGAAAAGGTTTTCTTTAAGGAAATTAAATGTGAAAATTGTTCAGTACGTAGGTAGGTGAGACAAAAGCCAGGCCTTTCACAATTCTGCCTAATGTCCCCTCCTTAACATGGCTTGCAAAATATATCACCACCACCTAGCCAGGGGGCTATTTTTATGAGCCAAAAATAGAGATTGCAGATGGAGGTGATGGGGTACCACCATTCAAGTACAAAGACAGTGCCTGGTGAGGAGACTAGTCTTCTTTCTGTTCTTTGCTGTTGAAAAAGGTGTGAAAGCTGGGATTTCCACAGGAGTGCTATCATGGGGACTCTTACCTAGTGAGTAGTCACTGGGCTGGGACACCTGAGTTCTATTCTTGACTCTGCCACGGGTTTGCTGGGCGACTTTGGGCAAGTCGCTTTGTCGTGCTGTGCCTCAGTTTCCCCCATCTATACAATGCAATTAATGATACTGACCCCCTCTGTGTAATGCTCTGAGGTCCGTTGAGGAAAAGTGCCAAATAAGAACTAGGTAGCAATATTACTAGTGGATATCTCAAATATGAAACTCCTGACCCGCTTTAGCTATTAGAGAATGAACTGTTTCTCTTCCCCATCCAGAACCACACATTGCTGGCTTGATGTCCTGTCTGCTTTGAAAGACTTGGTAGTAAGAGGTCTAAGATTATGCTGCTGCCAGAAGGGCTAGAATTTTAACTTTGTTATAATGGGAAGTTAAGTCTGCAGAAACTGAAGACAGTCGTCCCCACTTGCTAGGAATAGCTTCCCCCACATCTCTGATGAGTGAACAATTCAACTCCTGCTACTTGCCACACAGTTGTACAGACTGGAATATTTCATTGTGACTCCTGATTTGTAGCATCCATAAGAAATGACACTGAGGAGTCCTGTGGCATCTTATAGACTAACAGATTTATTGGAGCATAAGCTTTCGTGAGCAAAGATCCACTTCGTCAGATGCATGTTGAAGTGCGTCTTTGCCCACGAAAGCTTATGCTCCAATAAAACAGTTAGTCTATAATGTGTCACAGGACTTCTCGTTGTTCTGGCAGATTCAGACTAACACGGCTACTTCGTTGTTCTGGCAGATTGACTAACACGGCTACCCCTCTGATACTTGTCACCATAAGAAATGAGTTCTATTTAAATCCGGAGGTGACTTAAACTTGCTTATTCAGCTGTAGCCTCCAAACATCATTTTTCTCTAGTCTTTTTGGAAGTGAAAAAGTGAATGAAGGCACCATTTCTCATGCTGGAAAGATTCAAGCTAGACTAGTCCTGCATCTACGTACAAAGGGAAAAGTTCAGTTCAACATTCTTAGAACACACAGATTTTTGTAAAACAGGCCCACTGAAACTTTAAAAAAATCATGTAAACATTTCTAATAGGAACAGTTCTTTGGGATGAATGGTTTCCCTGCAGTGTTTCCAACCCAAATATGCTACAGGATTGAGAATCTTTTTACATGTACCAAGATCTGGTATGTGCAAAGTAAATGAACAGCATACTTCATGAGAATTGAACGGAATTTTTGAAATGCTTAGTCTCAATCTAAGGAAACCTGTTTACAATGTGTGTTGTTTGTTTTACTTGGTGAGGTGTTTTTTATTTAAAGATCTCGCTTTCTAACACAATTATGTGACAGTTGGGTTTCATTTATTGTTCCACTAGGTGGTGCAACTCTAATGAAGATCCACAGTGCAAGCGAAATGCTATTATTCTTTAATAGTCTCTTCTCAAAGTGCAGCTGCAGTAATGCACTTACAGCGTCTCTCTGTACCAACAGAAAGCTTTTCAGTCTTAAGTGCAGATTTTGTCTTTTCATGTGAGCTGTCACAGTAATGGCAGTGGGATGAGCAAAGATTAAAGGGGACAAAGATGCAATGAAGGCTTCAGTGAAGGGGGGACTGTCTACTTGTCAGTTGAACATTTTAATTAGTGTGTATATGTGTAAGTTACATATGTGATACTAAAATATTTGCTCTGAGTCTATGTCCTTAAGTCAGATTTACAGCATAAGTTTTGCTTCTTGTGTGCACACTTGGCCTACTAATACTTTATTTCTCTTTTTTTCAAGTCAATGTTGGGGAAGATTGCCCAGTGTTTGATGGGCTGTTTGAGTTTTGTCAGCTGTCTGCAGGAGGTTCTGTTGGTAAGCACAAGAATTGTATGTTCTTCCTCTATGTCCATAATGTGTCTGTCAGAAAAGAAACATGATGTTGGAGTCATTGCTAGATTCCTTAAAATAATTGGGCTCACATGTTGTGATTGGTCGGTGGCTGAGAATGCTTTGTGTAAGGCGGGGGTGGGCAATAATTTTTAAAAGGGGCCCACTTCATAAATTTCTGAAGTGGCCCCGGGCTGCCCATGAAGGGGCGCCCTTGGTGGTTTGGGGGGGAACACTTTGTACGCTCGATTGGCAAAGCTGGATCCACAGGCTTGGCAAGCCGCCCCGTGGAAGCCCCTTTGCCCACCTTGAAGTCCAAAGATCACTTCAGTGGTAATGTTGAGGAATTTTTCTGTATGGAATGAAAGCATCATGATTTATTTCAGTAACACTAGCTCTCTTTGTTGCTGAAACCTTGGTTAATTTAAAGATATCTTGCTTTTTGTTATTGTTGTAAAATTTGCTCCATCTCTGGGTAACCACAGCCTGGGAGCAGGTGTTTTGTTTTACCACGAAATATCCACTTGTCTGTGAGAAGAAAGAAAAAAACAAAAGCAGAAAGATTCCAATAGATTTTAAGTTATGGCATCCTTATTAATGAATTTTTGCTACAGAGTAATGCAGCATTTGGAGACTTTTGCTGGGAATATACTTAAAAGCTTTGCTGCTTACTACAGACTGTTAGCTTTATTTTCTGAAATAAAAAGTCTGAGGACACTCAAACGTCTAAAAGATAACCCTATGCCTGTTCAACTGACAGACCCATCTAAAGTAGCTATTCCGATCTCTTGTCAGGCTCTGATCCTGCAAAAGGATTCATCTGTCCTGACCCTTAGTCCCATTCAAAGTTACAGTGAAGTCATTGGAACTGTGTGCAGCCTGTGGTGTTGGTGGGAGATCCCTTTGCCTAGTTATCTGTACAGAAGACGAAACAAAGCTGCTAATTGTGCATGCATGTGAGAGAAAACTGTCCATGAAAGGTTTTCTCTTTAGGCCACTGATAAATAGAACTAAACTGTACTTTAACTGTGACTCAAGCCAGCAAGAGCTAGAGAGCTGCAGGCCCCTGGTTTCAAACCAGGCTCCCCAGTTCTGAGCCACATGTGTGAAATGGGACAAAACAATTGCAAAAATAGAGGTTTGCTCTGAGAAGCAAGAAGACCCCTCCCTGCACCTCTACATTAGACTGATCTCTCGTCTACAGAGAGAGAGGCATAATGTCACCCCTTTGTTATACCCACACAAGCATATGGAATACCACCTCATGGGGTCATGTATGCTGCTTCTGTGTTCTCCAGAGCTTGTCCAAGCTCCATTCTGTCTTTCCTTGCTAACGTTCTGCCGTTGTTCTCTCTGCAGCCAGCGCTGTGAAGCTGAACAAGCAACAGACAGATATTGCTGTGAATTGGGCAGGAGGCCTTCACCACGCTAAGAAATCGGAGGCTTCTGGCTTCTGTTACGTCAACGACATTGTCTTGGCCATCTTGGAGCTCCTAAAGTACGCCCAGTACTACTTATCCCTTTTGTTTGTCTGTTCTGCTGCATTTTCTTTGAGACCGTACCACTTTCTTGCCAAGGTGTTCCTTTCTGTTAGCTAACAAGGAGGGCTTAATCAGACCTCTTTTTGCTGCAATGCTCCCTCTCTTCAGCAGGGCTTGCTTCACTTGCAATATGATGCAGTAGGTGAAAGGCCTGGAACACTGTGGGATCTCTCTTAAGTGCTTCTTCCTTCGCACAAAAAATTGGCACGCCTGTAATTTGTGTCCTCATGGTTACCATCCTGACGACTTCTTGGCATGAGGCAGCTCTAGCTAGAAGGCTTGGAGATAAAATGTGCAGTTCACTGGTTGAGCCTTGAAAGTGCCTTCAGAGATCAGTTGCCGCAGCGATATCACTGAGGAAATCAGAGTGGCTTCTGTTCTGCTGTCAGCCAGGCCATGGCATGTGTCGGTGCTCCACATCTGTTTTCCTTGGTGGCTTCAGAGAGAGACAGCAAGTTGGTAACTGTACAGCCTGGGGATTAGCACCAAGTTCTTTGCTGTCCCTCCCATTTCCTTTGCTGGTGAAGGCAGTTTCCACTCTGAAGAAATGCAGCATTTTGACTCCCTTTTAATCCTAGGTACCACCAGAGGGTGCTGTATATTGACATTGATATCCATCATGGCGATGGCGTGGAGGAAGCCTTTTACACCACAGACCGTGTCATGACTGCGTCCTTTCATAAGTATGGAGAATACTTCCCAGGAACAGGGGATCTGCGGGTGAGAATGGGGGAGGCGTAGCAAAAACGTCCTCTGGAGTTTGATTTTTTCCATTCATTCGCTGTCCAGCTAATTTCACCAAAACCCTGTTTCTCTGTTCACTGGTTAGATGGACTCTCTCAATACGTCCATCTTTGTTAATGGGAAATGTGTGTGACAATGAAGTTTGTTCTTGGAGTGGGTGCTTTTTCTCTGTGGTCACCTGTCTGTTATACAGTAACAGTGCCCAGACATCAAATGTCTCGACAGCCTCGTGCTGTGCTTAATGGTCAGAGAAGGGACCCTGAACATTGCATCTTGGTGTGCCATATTTAATCTGGTAAGTTATGCAGAGCTGGCCAGGCTAGGCCTTGATTCCCCCACAAGGAGCACCTCAGGCTGTGGAATTAGGACTGGTGATTCGGCGGGTGGCATTCTTCCTTCTGAGTTGGTGCAGAGCCTCACAGCCCACGCGGGGACATTGTGATCTGGAGGTGCTTGCTGTCTTTCAAATGACCCTGCTGTGGCCCTTTTTGCTTGTGGTTCTTGACAGTGCCACAACATCCTCACCTCTTGAGAAGAGCTATGTTAAGCCTAGGGTCATGATCAGATTCCTGCTAGAGTCATGGCATTCTCCTGACCTAAATTCCCCCTTGAGTTGTAGTTGTGTGTAGGACAGGCAGTGACAATACTAAATTACGGGGTGGTATGTTCTCGCAGCTGCCTGCCGTGTTTGATCCCTCAGGCAGCCATGCTACTGCAATGAGGGAAATGATTCTTTGTCAAGTGCTTTGGTGTGGCAGTGGGCTGTGGAGAGAGAGAATATTTAATGTAAAAAATATCAAAACTAGACTCCTGTAAGGTTCATCCAGCTGTCAATACTGCGGGCTCCACCTGGCATCCGCCTCCAGCCTGATTCACATTCTGCTTTGCCAACGGTCACAAGTCTGGCACTGGAATCTTGGAGCCTGTTTTCTTACTACAGGAGAGGGTAAAAATCTGTCTGTTCCGCAGCACTGCTGGATCTGCACTGCATACCGGTTTTGCTAGCAAATGTGCAGCTGAGAACTCACAGGCTCAGAGAGTGTATGTGTTAGCAGGATGCTGTCAGTCCTGGGATTGAGTTTTCCAGGACAAGCAGCATAGTAGTCTCAGTAGAGCAGCCTTGCTTCTGAAACCTGTTTCCTCTGAGACTGCTGTTGGCTTGTAACTAGGACCCAACACAGGGCCCACCTCTTCAGACTTTTAAATGTGCCTTGCTGAGAGCGTCAAGTTACCTTTGAACTTGTGACTCCAATTTGACCCAGTTGAACAGTTGACTAGATGCTCGGACTAGGACCATCATGTCAGTAGAATTGCAAAGTGCAGTGTTTTACTCTTTCCTGACTATAACCTCACAGTACCCTCCATTTGCTATGTAACGTCTAAATCAGGGCTACTCTGCACACAGCCCACATGCAGCCCACAGCCTCTTTGTGGCCCACAGTGTAGTTTGGGTTTACCTGGGGCTCAACACACGGCCCGCAGGTGGGGTCCTTTGAACATGGCCTCCACTGGGAAAATGCTCCAACAGTGAGGCATCTCCCAGGCGGGGTGAGCATTGAAAGATGCAAGCAGACGTGCTGGCTGGAACAGACAGGTTCCAGGGTATCGGTGTTTCTAGCCCACGGGGAGGAGGTGCCGGGAGCACTGGGGCATTGTGGGAAGTGCTGGCTGCTTAGCCTTGTGGGCAGAGCCTGAGGGGTGCTGACTGGCTCTCACTGGCCCCATTTGGGTCCAGTGCTGCAGCTAAGACTTAATCTTTGTACTCATGCCTGTCAGTGTGAAAGAAGCTATTTGCATATATATTTGCATGTCAGTGCAACAACACTTCAGTTGTGGCCCTCTGAATGTGCTGTGAGTATCATTGTGGCCCCTGGGGCTTCCAAAATTGAGTAACCCTGGTCTAAATTGATCAGTTGAATGCAAAGGCCAAATGTACCCACTTACCCCACGGCTCATCCTCTGAAGCCGCTGGCATCCTGCCTGCTTATGCCATTTGTCCCCAAGTGCCTTGGCTTAGTTTCTGATAGACCTGGTAGAATTCCAGACTTTCTAAGTTGGCATATAGTATGTATGTTCGTGTTTGGTCTCTGGTGACCTGTGGTTTTTCCTGTCTCTCACCTAGGATATTGGTGCAGGTAAAGGCAAGTATTATGCTGTCAACTATCCTCTCCGGGACGGAATTGACGATGAGTCCTACGAGGCAATATTTAAGCCGGTGAGTCTGTTCCTCTGAGTGAGCCTCTCTGGGATTCTGCTTTGCCTTTTTCTAGCGACACTTTGATGAGGGAGGATGCAATTTTGTGCTATAAGATTCCCTAGTGTTTATTCCTGCTTGACAGTTACAGCCAGTCACTTGTAGACTTTTATCTGTAAGAAGCTTCAGTGTCACTGGGAGTGGGGGGAGGCGGCAGCCACTGAAGCGTGAGGGAATATCTCCATGTCGGCCGCTGACACTAATTTCATTGTGTTGCTGTGACCTTGTCCCGGGGGAGCATGTAACGACGGATTTCTTGTCCAGGTCATATCTAAAGTGATGGAGACGTTCCAGCCCAGTGCAGTTGCCTTGCAGTGTGGATCAGATTCCCTGTCGGGGGACAGGCTGGGGTGTTTCAATCTCACCATCAAAGGTAAGAGTACAGTGCTTCTAGCAAAGCAGTCCAACCAGGACTGTGGTCTTAAGTCTAAAATATACTATATGTGGTGGCATTTGACTGGTGTGATCGGTGTTGAAAAGCTTACTGTCCGGTCATCCAGAGAGGCTATGAACCTCGTCCCATTCCCTGTGCTGCAGGTCATGCCAAGTGTGTGGAGTTCGTAAAGAGTTTCAACTTGCCCATGCTGATGCTAGGAGGGGGTGGCTACACAATCCGCAACGTGGCTAGATGCTGGACTTACGAGACTGCTGTGGCTTTGGACACAGAAATTCCAAATGGTAAGACTATTATGGTAGCGTTGGACACCAATCCTGAATGATACCGTCCTAGAGCTTGGGGGAAATTAAATTGCTCAGAGTAGGTGTAGGAGACCTGTGAAGCAGCCAGAGGGTATGTCTAGACTACACTTCTCTGTCCACAGAGAGATGTAGATTAGGCACATTGAAATTGCAAATGCAAGCGGGATTTAAATATCCCGCGCCTCCTTAGCATGAACATGGCCGCCGATTTTTTCCTAAACGGAGCTTTTTTGTAAAAAGGCAGTCTAGACGTGATCTTTTGAAAATACAGCCCTTTTTCGAAAGATCTTGTAAACCTCATTTTATGAGGGATAAGGGATCTTTCGAAAAAGGGTTGTATTTTCAAAAGATCGCATCTAGACTGCTGTTTTTTCCCTAAAAAGCTCCATTTCGGAAAAGGCGGTGGCCATGTTTATGCTAATGAGGTGTGGGATATTTAAATCCCGGCTGCATTAACAATTTCAACGTGCTTGATTTGCATCTGTCGACAGAGGGATATAGTCTAGACTAGTGGTCTCCAACCTTTTTACACCCAAGATCACTTTTTAAATGACAGACCAAGCCAAGATCTACCGCCCCGCCCCTTCCTTGAAGCCCCGCCCTCTCTATTCTCCTCTTCTCCATCACTTGCTATCCCCAAGCCTTATACTGCTACTTTAAAAAAAAAAAAAAAAAAAGTCAATTTATATTAGACATCCTACCTTTTTCTATCTATTTCTTAAATTTAACAATTAAAAGCTTTCAGTTAACAAAACAAAACCTTTCTTTGCATTGCGGAAATTCTAATTGACATACTGTTGTCCTGTGTATATCTCACACAACATCAAAACAAATTGCACCACAGTTTTGCCTTGAAAGGTGCAAGATATAGCCTGAGACGCTTCACTAGCTGCCAACTTTTCTTGTATTAAGAGCTCTCTGAGCTGCTGCTGCACACGTGGTGTATTCTAGCCCTTAATGCCTCATGAGAAACCACTTTTCCCCTACAACACGGTGGCTACGTCTAGACGGGCATGATTTTCCGCAAATGCTTTTAACGGAAAAGTTTTCCATTAAAAGCATTTGCGGAAAAGAGCGTCTAGATTGGCAGGATGCTTTTCTGCAAAAGCACTTTTTGCGGAAAAGCGTCTGTGCCAATCTAGACGCGGTTTTGCGCAAAAAAGCCCCGATCGCCATTTTCGCGATTGGGGCTTTTTTGCGCAAAACAAATCTGAGCTGTCTACACTGGCCCTTTTGCGCAAAAGGGACTTTTGCCCGAACGGGAGTAGCATAGCATTTCTGCAAGAAGCACTGATTTCAGACAGTAGGAAGTCAGTGTCCTTGCGGAAATTCAAGCGGCCAGTGTAGACAGCTGGCAAGTTTTTCCGCAAAAGCAGCTGCTTTTGTGGAAAAACTTGCCAGTCTAGATGCAGCCACAATGTTTTGTGTGTCCTGTCATCTCATTGTAACTAAAAGGCCTGTTGTGGGCACTCATGGGGGTTAAAGTCGTGACTAGTGTCTGGCCCCACTGTTTTCTGAGCATCCCAATTCAACCCAGGAGAGCGCCAGTCACCCCCGAAAGGAAATATTCTTCTTGAGCTTTAATCTGTTATGAGACTAATGTGATACTTGCTGTTTCGATAGCAGCCCAGGAACTAATCCAGGTTACTTTGTGTTCTGATCTTTGTGCAGAGCTTCCATATAATGACTATTTTGAATACTTTGGACCCGACTTTAAGCTCCACATCAGCCCTTCGAACATGACCAACCAGAACACCAATGAGTATCTTGAGAAGATTAAGTAAGTGGTGTGTGTTACCGCTAGCAAGCCTGGGGGCTTGTTTCTGTTCATCCTTTCTTGGGTTACCAGCGTGTGTGGGATTTCTGGTTTCTTTTTTGCTGATCGTAGGCAACGGCTGTTTGAGAATCTGCGCATGCTCCCTCATGCCCCTGGTGTCCAGATGCAGCCGATTCCTGAGGACGCTGTGCAGGAGGACAGTGGAGATGAAGATGAAGAGGACCCTGACAAACGCATTTCAAGTAGATGCCCAGCTGTGGGGATAGGTTACCTTGCCTGATTGCAGAGTAGGCTGCTGAGCCTTCGCTTGGGCTGCGTCTACACTGGCAGCTTCTTGCGCAAGAACTGTTTTGTGGAAGGGTTCTTGCACAAAAAGTCTTCCACAAGAGCGCGTCTATACTGGCATGTGCTTTTGCACAAGAGCGTCTATGGCAGTGTGGACGCGCTCTTGCGCAAGAAAGCTCCGATGGCCATTTTAGCCGTAGGGGTTTCTTGCACAAGAAATTGATGTTGCCGGTCTACACTGCCCTCTTGCACAAGAGCTCTTGCACAAGAGGGCTTATTCCTCGTGAGGAGAGGAATAATTCTTCCAGAAGAAGCACTGTTCTTGTGCAAGAAGCCGCCAGTTTAGATGTAGCCTCAGCGAACCAGTGCTGTTGCTAGATAACTTCTTAACGGAAGAATCCGGATATAATGTAGAGCTTGAACTATTGCCAGATCTGCCCATGGGGAAATGACCGAAAAAACCCTGAAAGTTGTACCTTCGGTTCATGCTGCCAGAAGACCAGCTCCTGCTGTTCTAGCAAAAGTTGCCCGTTAGCTGTGAAAACAGTCGCGTCTACCCAGGCTGTTTTATGCCCTTCGAGTCTGGGAGTCAGATTTTCTCAGTGTGAAGTTAGTTAACCTGTTTGTGCTGGCAGCTCTAGACATCCTGCTGTAACCCTAATCCTTGGCACCTATAACTGTTACACTGAGAAATCTCCAGGAGGATTGTTGCCGCGCAGCTGTAAAGTTTCTTGGCGCGATAAGAGCATTCCGTATAGCCCCATTTACTGTCTTACGGACCCCTGGGGAAAAGACTCCCTTGTGACTGAGGTAACCTCTTCTCCTTTGCTCTCAGTGCGCTCTGCTGACAAGAGAATAGCCTGTGATGAAGAATTTTCGGATTCTGAAGATGAAGGGGAAGGTGGTCGCAAAAATGTTGCCAATTTTAAGAAGGCAAAGCGTGTGAAAACGGAAGAGGAGAAGGAGGAGGAGGAGAAGGAGAAGAAAGGTAGGTGTAAACCTGGAACTAGCAGTCCATTGGCCTGCTCCCTAGAGCCGGTCCTGTATACAGGGCTAAGTAATGTGAGGGATGAGTAAAGCTGTGGTTTTGTTGCAGGAGTTAACATTTCTGTGATTCCTCTTTTGGATTATTGACTGTTGTGTGGGAGATCATGTTTTGAATCCCTTTCAATGGGAACCTTCAGGGAGCTGCTAAATTTAAACCCGGATCGCATTGGGGATGTGAAAGGTTAACTAGTAACTTTAACAGCTGATACTTACTGGTTCCAGTTAACTGGTGGGGGCTGGAGCAGCTCCCTGTGGGCCCGGCTCAAGCAGCCGGTTGCACCGCAGGCGGGGGACGCTCCGACCAGGCAAGCCCTTAATTGGTTAGCCATTGTATTTAACCAGTTAACCTCCTGCACAATCTAGGGATGTAAAATCCCATTTATCGGTTGTTTAACGGAGAAACAACGTCCCCGAGACACCTGGGACTGAGCACAGTGTGGAGCAGCTCCCTGTGGGCCCGGCTCAAGCAGCCGGTTGCACCGCAGGCGGGGGACGCTCCGACCAGGCAAGCCCTTAATTGGTTAGCCATTGTATTTAACCAGTTAACCTCCTGCACAATCTAGGGATGTAAAATCCCATTTATCGGTTGTTTAACGGAGAAACAACGTCCCCGAGACACCTGGGACTGAGCACAGTGCTTTTCTCTGTCTGGGAGAAGCTGTTTTGGCAAGACAGCGTTTAAAGTGCGACCTGAGACCACACAACCGTGGCAAGGTCTGTGGTCCTTTCTAACCGTCCTCGCCTTCTAAGCAGTGTCTGGTGTGCTCTCCACAAGAGCTCCAGTGGTTCTGAGGCTGGGGAAGAATCGTCTTTCCCACGACCAAAGACGACTCTACTCTCCGATTCTCAGTGAGGTAGCGTGGCAGGGTTCTTGCCCTGGAACCCCTTCTTCAGCCACAAATCACCAGGAGGCCCTCTCTTGTGCAGTCACCCTGCCAACTTCCCACCAGCTTTTGTTTACGGAGCTTGGTTTTCCCCAGCACCTCTCCTGGCTGGGAGACACACACTTAACCGCTCTCCCTGGCTCCTCCCCCTCCGCTTTCCCTCTGGCTGCCTTATCTAGCCCCTGGCTAATGAGGCCCACAGCTGCTTCCATTAGCCCTTCAGGCCTGGGCTTGCTCAGCTGGCTGTAAGTGGCCTTTTCAGCCAGGCTGTAGTGGCGGAGCTCTGGCTTAGCCAGCTGTCTGTCACAGTAGGTTTACCAGCATCCGCTCTGGTCTGGCAACGGGTAAATTCTGTCCTTGTGTCACTGTGACGGCGCGTTGGGGTCCCCCGTCTCCTGCACCCCGAAATGGCACAAACAGACTGCACCAGCCGGTGGACTAGAGGAAGTTTATTGCCTCTCCAGGATACAGCACAGCACAGATGTAATCTGGTCACAGAGCTGGGCTAGGATGCCTCAGGCCCCCTTGAGATGGGGGAGACTGGGCCCCTAAACTCCAGCCCCTTCCC